GTATACAACACCCTCACACTTGTCACGTCTCCTGTCATGTCGTATACAACACCCTCACACTTGTCACATGTCGTATACAACACCCCACACTTGTCACGTCTCCTGTCATGTCGTATACAACACCCTCACACTTGTCACGTCTCCTGTCATGTCGTATACAACACCCCCACACTTGTCACGTCTCCTGTCATGTCGTATACAACACCCCCACACTTGTCACGTCTCCTGTCATGTCGTATACAACACCCCCACACTTGTCACGTCTCCTGTCATGTCGTATACAACACCCCCACACTTGTCACGTCTCCTGTCATGTCGTATACAACACCCTCACACTTGTCACGTCTCCTGTCATGTCGTATACAACACCCCACACACTTGTCACGTCTCCTCTCCTGTCATGTCGTATACAACACCCCCACACTTGTCACGTCTCCTGTCATGTCGTATACAAACACCCCCACACTTGTCACGTCTCCTGTCATGTCTTATACAACACCCTCACACTTGTCACGTCTCCTGTCATGTCGTATACAACACCCTCACACTTGTCACGTCTCCTGTCATGTCGTATACAACACCCCCACACTTGTCACGTCTCCTGTCATGTCGTATACAACACCCTCACACTTGTCACGTCTCCTGTCATGTCTTATACAACACCCCCACACTTGTCACGTCTCCTGTCATGTCGTATACAACACCCCCACACTTGTCACGTCTCCTGTCATGTCGTATACAACACCCTCACACTTGTCACGTCTCCTGTCATGTCGTATACAACACCCTCACACTTGTCACGTCTCCTGTCATGTCGTATACAACACCCCCACACTTGTCACGTCTCCTGTCATGTCGTATACAACACCCTCACACTTGTCTACATCTCAAAGTCCTAAACTTGTATTGTTTAAGCTCTTGGGAGCACCGTGGAGCTCTTATGTGCCCCCCCCCACACACACACACTCCCGCAGCCGTGTCAAGAGATGAGAGAGAAGGCACGAAGCACTGAGTGTGCCTCAACACTCAGAAAGTCACACACACACACACACACACACACACACTGGTGGCTGACCACACAACCTGTCCTCAGAAACCCCACAACCACACCGATATCAGCAGCGCCCTCAGTGCTGGACTGGCCGACATATGCGACAGCCCTTCAGAAATAGGACACAAAGATCCTGGAATATATATATGTAGCAAGGAACACGTGTCAACTATACACAGCGGTGTTGGAAGAAAATCTAGAGAATGGAAAATGGAATGGGACCTCCTGTCCCTGGAAGACGGAAGAATTAAGGGGTTTAACCCCATAATTCCTCAAACGCTTGTTGAAGCGTTTAACCCTGTCGTAGCTCAGTCGATTGAGGCAGTGTCTGGGATGCTCCCGGACGCAGGTTCGAATCCTCGTCACGGCCCTTGTGGATTTGTTCAAGAATTAAGGGGGATTTGACTCCCGAGTAGGAGCAGGAGGTATATACTCACCTATGTGAGTATATGAGCTCACGTGTATACAGATACACACAGTACCGCTCCTGTGCCAGGTAAGTCCTCCACGGGCTCACCATAGCCCGTGCTACTTGGAACTTGTTCCGAGTAGCTGAATCTATAACAACAACAACAACGGAGATATGAGAAAGCCCAAAAAGGCTCTGGAACTTGCTCTGGAGTTGATGGCTGAGAGGCGGGTCCAATGAGCCGAAGCTCAGCCAGCGAAACGCAAATAGGTAGATACACATAAAAACGACAAATTTCACATCACATATAATGTACACACTACACACGCACAAAGCACGCACAAAGCACCCACGCACAAACACACACACACACAGAGTCGCGTGCGTGCGTGCGTGTGCATGCGACGCTGGCCGGTGCACTACTTTGTAACGAAATCCAATGTTATTAACTCAGTAAATATTAAGGAGCCTCTGATAGCATTTAAAGAGTCAACAGTGAATTGTAATGTTGGAAGTTCTCATGTTTGTCGAAGCGTTTGTGTGCAACCCGTTCTCGCAAATTCGTAAAGTCAATATTGACTTATTAACTACGTGCATAGGTGATATACTAAACATAATAGATACCCTTAAAAAGATTCATAGAAAACACCGACCTTACCTAACCTTGTTAGTATCTTAAGATAAGCATCTTATTGCTTCGTAATTACAATTATTACTTAACCTATACCTATTATAGGTTAGGTAATAATTGTAATTACGAAGCAATAAGATGTTTATCTTAAGATACTAACAAGGTTAGGTAAGGTCGGTGTTTTCTATGAATCTTTTTAAGGGTATCTATTATGTTTAGTATATCACCTATGCACATATTTAATAAGTCAATATTGACTTATTAAATTTGCGAGAACGGGTTGTTGTGTGTGTGTGTGTGTGTGTACTCACCTAATTGTACTCACCTAATTGTGCTTGCGGGGGTTGAGCTCTGGCTCTTTGGTCCCGCCTCTCAACCGTCAATCAACTGGTGTACAGATTCCTGAGCCTATTGGGCTCTATCATATCTACATTTGAAACTGTGTATGGAGTCAGCCTCCACCACATCACTTCCTAATGCATTCCATTTACTAACTACTCTGACACTGAAAAAGTTCTTTCTAACGTCTCTGTGGCTCATTGGGTACTCAGCTTCCACCTGTGTCCCCTTGTTCGCGTCCCACCAGTGTTGAATAGTTCATCCTTGTTTACCCGGTCGATTCCCCTGAGGATTTTGTAGGTTGTGATCATGTCCCCCCTTACTCTTCTGTCTTCCAGTGTCGTGAGGTGCATTTCTCGCAGCCTTTCCTCATAACTCATGCCTCTTAGTTCTGGGACTAGTCTAGTAGCATACCTTTGGACTTTTTCCAGCTTCGTCTTGTGCTTGACAAGGTACGGGCTCCATGCTGGGGCCGCATACTCCAGGATTGGTCTTACATATGTGGTATACAAGATTCTGAATGATTCCTTACACAGGTTCCTGAACGCCGTTCTGATGTTAGCCAGCCTCGCATATGCCGCAGACGTTATTCTCTTTATGTGGGCTTCAGGAGACAGGTTTGGTGTGATATCAACTCCTAGATCTTTCTCTCTGTCTGTTTCATTAAGTACTTCATCTCCTATTCTGTATCCTGTGCCTGGCCTTCTGTTTCCACTGCCTAGTTTCATTACTTTGCATTTACTCGGGTTGAACTTCAACAGCCATTTGTTGGACCATTCACTCAGTCTATCCAGGTCATCTTGTAGCCTCCTACTATCATCCTCTGTTTCAATCCTCCTCATAATTTTTGCATCGTCGGCAAACATTGAGAGGAACGAATCTATACCCTCTGGGAGATCATTTACATATACCAGAAACAGTATAGGTCCAAGGACTGACCCCTGCGGGACTCCACTTGTGACGTCTCGCCAATCTGAGGCCTCACCCCTCACACAGACTCGTTGTCTCCTGTTGCTTAGGTATTCCTCTATCCACCGGAGTACCTTCCCTCTCACTCCAGCCTGCATCTCCAACTTTCGCACTAGCCTCTTGTGTGGTACTGTATCAAAGGCTTTCTGACAATCCAAAAATATGCAGTCTGCCCACCCTTCTCTTTCTTGCCTTATTTTTGTTGCCTGGTCGTAGAATTCAAGTAACCCTGTGAGGCAGGACCTGCCATCCCTGAACCCATGTTGATGCTGTGTTACAAAGTTCCTTCGCTCCAGATGCTCCACTAGTTTTTTTTCGCACAATCTTCTCCATCAGCTTGCATGGTATGCAGGTTAGGGACACTGGCCTGTAGTTCAGTGCCTCCTGTCTATCCCCTTTCTTGTATATCGGGACTACGTTAGCTGCTTTCCAAATATCTGGCAGTTCCCCTGTTGCCAGTGATTTGTTATACACTATGGAGAGTGGTAGGCTCAGTTCTCTTGCTCCTTCCTTTAGAACCCAAGGGGAGATTCCATCTGGGCCTATAGCCTTCGTCACGTCCAACTCTAGTAAACACTTCCTTGCTTCCCCACTGGTAATCTCAAACTCTTCCAGTGGTTCCTGGTTAGCTATTCCCTCACTTACCTCTGGAATTTCTCCTTGTTCTAAGGTGAAGACCTCCTGGAATTTCTTATTCAATTCCTCACACACTTCCTTGTCATTTGTAGTGAATCCTTCCGCCCCTATCCTTAATCTCATAACCTGTTCCTTTACTGTTGTTTTTCTCCTAATGTGGCTATGCAACAATTTAGGCTGAGTCTTTGCCTTGCTTGCGATGTCATTTTCGTATTGTCTTTCTGCCTCTCTTCTCATCCTGACATATTCATTCCTGGCATTCTGGTATCTTTCTCTGCTCTCCAGTGTCCTGTTATTCCTATAGTTTCTCCATGCCCTTTTACTTTGCTTCTTAGCTAGCCTACATCTTTGATTAAACCATGGGTTTCTCATCTTCATTTCTCTGTTTTCCTTTTGGACTGGGACAAACTTGTTTGCTGCGTCCTTGCACTTCTGCGTGATGTAATCCATCATATCTTGGGCCGTCTTTCCCCTGAGCTCTGTTTCCCATGCTATATCTGTTAGGAATTTTCTTATCCCCTCATAGTTTCCCTTTCGGTATGCTAACCTTTTGGTTTCGGTATCCCTCCTCGAGTTCAATAACCCTTCTTCAATCAAGTACTCAAACTTGTGTGTGTGTGTGTGTGTGTGTGTGTGTGTGTGTGTGTGTGTGTGTACTCACCTAGTTGTGCCTTGCGCGGATTGAGCTCTGGCTCTTTGGTCCCGCCTCTCAACCGTCAATCAACAGGTGTACAGGTTCCTGAGCCTACTGGGCTCTATCATATCTACACTTGAAACTGTGTATGGAGTCAGCCTCCACCACATCACTGCCTAATGCATTCCACCTGATAACTTCTCTGACACCGACAAAATTCCTTCTAACGTCTTTGTGGCTCATTTGGGTACTCAGTTTCCACCTGTGTCCCCTTGTTCGTGTCCCACCCGCCAGCTGGTTCATTATCAAGGCAAGCGGCGTTCCAGCTGGCTCATGAGGACAGGTGGTGGTGTTCCAATTGGTTCATCAGGCCAGGTGGTGTCCCCAGCTGGTTCATCAGGCCAGGTGGTGTCCCCAGCTGGTTCATCAGGCCAGGTGGTGTCCCCAGCTGGTTCATCAGGTCAGGTGGTGTCCCCAGCTGGTTCATCAGGCCAGGTGATGTCCCCAGCTGGTTCATCAGGCCAGGTGATGTCCCCAGCTGGTTCATGAGAACAGGTGGTGGTGTCCCCAGCTGGTTCATGAGGCCAGGTGGTGTCCCCAGCTGGTTCATCAGGCCAGGCGGTGTCCCCAGCTGGTTCATGAGGCCAGGTGGTGTCCCCAGCTGGTTCATCAGGCCAGGTGGTGTCCCCAGCTGGTTCATGAGGACAGGTGGTGGTGTCCCCAGCTGGTTCATCAGGCCAGGTGGTGTCCCCAGCTGGTTCATCAGGCCAGGTGGTGTCCCCAGCTGGTTCATCAGGCCAGGCGGTGTCCCCAGCTGGTTCATCAGGTCAGGTGGTGTCCCCAGCTGGTTCATCAGGCCAGGTGATGTCCCCAGCTGGTTCATGAGAACAGGTGGTGGTGTCCCCAGCTGGTTCATGAGGCCAGGTGGTGTCCCCAGCTGGTTCATCAGGCCAGGCGGTGTCCCCAGCTGGTTCATGAGGCCAGGTGGTGTCCCCAGCTGGTTCATCAGGCCAGGTGGTGTCCCCAGCTGGTTCATGAGGACAGGTGGTGGTGTCCCCAGCTGGTTCATCAGGCCAGGTGGTGTCCCCAGCTGGTTCATCAGGCCAGGCGGTGTCCCCAGCTGGTTCATCAGGCCAGGCGGTGTCCCCAGCTGGTTCATCAGGCCAGGCGGTGTCCCCAGCTGGTTCATCAGGCCAGGCGGTGTCCCCAGCTGGTTCATCAGGCAGGTACACACTGACTGGTGTCTCACTATGAAGCGTTTATCTTATGTCAACAATACTGTTTACCTACCATTAACTGCTGCTCTTGTTGGTGGTGCTGCTCTTGGTGGTGGTGCTCTTGTTGGTGGTGGTGGTGTTGGTGGTGCTGGTGTTGGTGGTGTTAGTGCGGGGATCAACCATCGGGGGTAGTCAAGACCACGCAGGTCCGCTGCTCCCTCCAACTATCCCTCTAGTTTACACATGGACTCCACACTCCCTCCACCATCACCAGTAGGTCTGTCTCTCTGTTCCAGCTGGTGGGGACTGAGAGAGAGAGAGAGAGAGAGAGAGAGAGAGAGAGAGAGAGAGAGAGAGAGAGAGAGAGAGAGAGAGAGAGAGAGAGAGAGAGAGAGAGAGAGAGAGAGAGAGAGAGAGAGAGAGAGAGAAGCCTCACAATTACAGGTCCTGGAGAGCATGTGTGGATCATGGCAGCAGCTGGGGCGAGACTGAGTCTGACGGCGACCGCTCCTGTATTTATCTGTCCCTGTGTTGCGAGCGCCCACTCTCCCTTGCCCGACCCCTGGTGCCCCTCGCCCGACCCTTGGTGCCCCTCGCCCGCCCTCTGGTGCCCCGATCCCTGGTGCCCCTCGCCCAACCTCTGGCGTCCTCAAAACTGCTGCTATCTGCGAATATAAAGTTATCCCTCTACGGACAACCAGGATCGCCTGAACACTCTTGTAGAGTCCGAGCCTCCAGGCCCCAGGACGGTCTAATATGGCTACGTTCATCCATACAATAAACCTCAAGGATTAACAAGATTAAAATTGGAAGCTGCAGTGCGCGAACGGGAATGGACGGCTGACCGACCCGAAGACAGCTTGAAAATATATGCCGAAAAGCTCAGAATTTTGGAGGACTATACATTCCCTAGAGGCCACCACCCCTGCCAGGGCGACCAGCCCACCCCTGCCAGGGCGACCAGCCCACCCCTGCCAGGGCGACCAGCCCACCCCTGCCAGGGCGACCAGCCCACCCCTGCCAGGGCGACCAGCCCACCCCTGCCAGGGCGACCAGCCCACCCCTGCCAGGGCGACCAGCCCACCCCTGCCAGGGCGACCAGCCCGCCCCTGCCAGGGCGACCAGCCCGCCCCTGCCAGGGCGACCAGCCCACCCACCAAATCACCCCTCCCCCCTCACAAACCCACCAGCGCCAATGGCACCTGAAGCATTTCTCACGACGTTTAATTAAAGGTGTGGAGCTGCCGGCGGCTCCAGCAGTAGCAAGGTGGTCTTAACAGTCCAGCAGACGACGGACCACCAACATCAGCTGCTGCTGCAGCTGCTGATGGAACATTACCAGATGGGTGTGGTGCCCCAGTGCTCTGGAGCACTACCCATGCCCAGAGATGGGCGGTGCCCCGGATGATTAATGGTGGAGCACCATTAAGTGTCCCTTAATGGTGTTCCACACCATTAAGAGGATTAGGAAAGAGAGAGAGAGAGAATGATGTGAGAACAAAGGGTGCTGACAGACTTACCAGTAATAAGGTTGATAAATTTTTAGGTGAAAATATAAAAAAATAAAACAAATAAAAGTAAATAAAAAAAAAATAAAAAATAAAAAAATAAAAAAAAAATAAAATAAAAAAAAATAAAAAAAAAATACAAAAATAAAAGGTCTCCTCTGAATACTTTTTATTTTCTTCTCCGAGGCTATGGGTCCCCACATTGGCACCAGAGGTGGTACCCTCACAAACTTTAAAAAATAAAACATATATATTAAGTGATCGTGCAAAATGATGACGAACCACGCAGACAATTCCTCCTCCGGGCCTCGTAACATATATAATTTTTTAAAAGATATGTGTTCACAACTAGATAACAGTGTCCAGTACAAGAAAGATAACACCCTACTCACCACTTGTGTGATCGTATGGGTGTCTATAACTCTGTGGGGGGGGGGGGGGTGACCCCCTGAGGCAGGTCACGTCCTCTGCCTGTGGGAGGTCACTGTGAAGCCCTCACCCCCCCCCCCCGCCCTCACTGTACTGACTTCCACTTGTTTTAGGAGCCCGTCCTTGTCAACAAAGGCCAAATGATCATTCAACCCGTCTCCTCCATTCAACCGCCAAATACATTTATGAATATAAAATGCTTTCCACACAACTCACCGCTCAAATTTGTCCTCAGGCCAGACTCATCCAGACGGATGAGTCTGGCTCTCTTGAGTCTGGTTCTCTGAGTTTGGCTCTCTGAGTCTGGCTTTCCGAGTCTGGCTCTCTTGAACCCTAAAACACAGTCATCATTGTTAACGTACTGCTCAATGTTTGTAATTTCTCATATATGAGGTGATGTTATTACATTCTATAATGTGCAGAATAGTTAGGGTAAACTTATGTTAGGTTCTGTCAGCTATACTGGTGTTCGCAGTACGTGGAGGGAGCATTTAGAGAGGTGGGATTCGAGCAGAGGACGTGAACGAAGCAATGTTCGAGAAAAATAAATGCGTCACAAGTTGTGAGTGTAATGTTTTTCACTCAAACAGAGGGTTTGAGGGCTTGGATTAATGGGCATTGGCTCTTTGTTGATGAGGACGGGTTGCAACGCTCACAACTGATGAAGTTCAAACATGTCTCGAATAGTGCTTCGCTGACGACCTCCGTTCGAATCGCAACTCTGTTTATGAGGACGGGCTGAACATTTACAAATTCCGAAGCCCATTCCATGCACCCGCCAAACCCCCTGTTTATGAATGAAAAACGGTTTACACACGACTCACAACTGCTGACGTCCGAACACTTCCGGAACAAGTGTTTCGCTGACGACTTTTGTTTGAACCACAACACTGTAAATGATTCACCCACGTACTACAAATATCATTAATCGCCAACAGAACCTAAACATCTAACCAGTGCCTAAATATGTACAATATGCTAATATATATTAATATTAATTTATATTTTGAGAAAATTCCTGTTTTGAATGAACAGTATGTTAAAATTGATGAATGTGTCTTTGAGGTCGACCGCTGGTTGGAATGGACTTGACTCTTCGACTCAATTGTTCACGTACTAATTTTCGTCTTCTGGAAGCACGTTGTTACGTTTCTGTAACAACGTGCTGTATGTAACAACATACAACGAAATTGTATGTTAGAAATATTTTGATTTGTTGGCTATATTGTCTTAGTCCTTTGATACAATTTTTTACAATTTGTATTATTTATATATTTAATTTATGTATTAACCAATTATTTCAGCTACTTTTCTTTCCGTAATTGTGTTCACGTTTTTAGCACAGCTAATGGTGTATATTCTCCGAATTGCTTGTCTTGGAAACTATATTAAAGATGTGCGTTCTTTCTCCAATACTTTCACTCAACGTCCAGTAAAAACGAACATTCTGGAAGGAGTATCGAAGCGAATGACTGTCCCTTGCGACGTCTGAGTGTCAACTGAGCCCTGAGAGCTTGCACCAGCCAATGACAGCCTCAGACACATCAGCGCTCATTGGCTGGTGTTTGAATCCTCAACCAATCACAGAGAGCCTCGTGTCTCCCACAGTCTACGATAGCCAACATCTACCGTTTCTGAAGGTTGTGTAGCTCCTGATGCTATACCTCAAGTATATGTTACCGTTATACTCTATATACTGACTACCGTTGTACTCTGTATACTAACCTTGTATTCTAACACAATATACTAACGAGGTTTACCTGAGGTATACTGAGAGAGGCAAGCCGGAGGGTCGGAAATGAAGTTAATATTTGTTTGGAAGAAAATTTGGCTATAATGGTGGTTTTCAGCCCACTCACACACCTGCCCGCCCACACACCTGCCCACCCCACACACCTGCCCGCCCACACACCTGCCCACCCCCACACCTGCCCGCCCACACACCTGCCCGCCCACACACCTGCCCACACCCCCCACACTGCCCGCCCACACCTGCCCGCCCACACACCTGCCCGCCCACACACCTGCCCGCCCACACACCTGCCCACCCCCACACTTCCCGCCCACACACCTGCCCGCGCACACACCTGCCCACGCCCACCAGGTGGTAGAAGGTAGATGGAAAAGGGAAGGGAGGAAATTGAGGAAGAGAAGGGGAGAGAATAGCGGGAGGGAGAGAAGGGAGGGAGGGGAAAGTAGAGAGGAAGAGAAGGGAGGGGAAGGTAGGAAGGGAGGGAAGGGGAGCCGGAAGAGGGGTGGGACAGGGGACACGGTGAGAGGCTGCTGACAGCTGGGTCAATTACCGCTGTAACGAGCGTGTCGACCCCATCCCATAGTCCGCTCGTGTGTGTGTACCCCAGGGTGACCCCACAGCACCCTAAGGCTGACCCCACAGCACCCCAGGGTGACCCCACAGCACCCTAGGGGTGACCCCACAGCTCCCTTATATCTCACTTATACCCAGTTCCTGCGCTTATACTCTTCGGAATAACCTGTTCCTCCGTTAATTAACTTAACAACTAATCACAGCTAATTACTAGACAATTAAAAAAGAAATTTACGAAAATCTAAAGTAATTATTTATCACGTTAATATTTTTGTTCCCATTCTCAAAGGTTTTAATCAGTTAGAGTTGACTAGTTGGGAGCAGCGTCGATGTCGACTCTTGGGGGGGGGGCAGCGTCGGTGTCGACTCTTGGGGGGGGGGGCAGCGTCGGTGTCGACTCTTGGGGGGGGGGGGGCAGCGTCGGTGTCGACTCTTGGGGGGGCAGCGTCGGTGTCGACTCTTGGGGGGGGGGGGGCAGCGTCGGTGTCGACTCTTGGGGGGGGGCAGCGTCGGTGTCGACTCTTGGGGGGGGGGCAGCGTCGGTGTCGACACTTGGGGGGGGGGGCAGCGTCGGTGTCGACTCTTGGGGGGGGCAGCGTCGGTGTCGACTCTTGGGGTGGGGGCAGCGTCGGTGTCGACTCTTGGGGGGGGGGGCAGCGTCGGTGTCGACTCTTGGGGGGGGGGCAGCGTCGGTGTCGACTCTTGGGGG